ACCATCAAGTTATCTCTTCATCAGAACTCTTAAGACAGGCAACAAGTGCACAGAGTTACACAAGTGGTAGGTTCATGGGGCTCTATGATCCACCACCAGGTTAAGATAATATCCTCAGTCCCTTTATGTAATGAGGTAACTATTGGAGCCTGGATGACTGGTCAAATGGACCCCAGTCCTAATAAACCCCAATGTACACAAGAGGATTGTAGCCCAGACTTAATGGGCCCCAATCTTAGTGAGCAGATTAGGCTGGTGTCTATTAGATCTAGGGCCCATATGACCCACAACTATGAGTGTATAACCACAAAATACTCCCTCACAAAGGTTCTTGAAGCCTCAGCTATGTAGGGCTCATGTACAACTACTTCATCCCACTTAACATGTGATGCAGCGAGGATGACAGGTAAGATAAAATCACAAAACAATAATGCAAGTCTTTACGTTAAGAGTACAACAGATCACAATGAATGTAGCCCCTCACACACTTGTTCTCTCTTCAATCCTCTATTTCCCAAAAACAGCTTTTTAACAATTTATTAAGCTGCAGAAAATAGCATTCAAAACACCTAAATCTATGACGATTATAATCTCTGACTCCCCTTCAAAACCAAGCCTTTCCTCCATCCAACAACTTCAAGCAGCCTTAAGCAAAAAGCAGCTACAAAACAATTTAAACCTGTATTACAAGATATTCATGTGAGCAAGCACACACACACACACAACAGCTGAAGAATACTGTACCAATATCCTTTTTTAATGCTAAGATGTAAAGTTCGTATTTGCCTTTTAATTTCAATCAAACTGTGTCAACTAGAAAGTTTTGAGGGATATTTGCTTTTTATCCATCACCACATACTCAGAGATTCATTAAACTGCTCCACTTTCACATTTTATTTTTAAATACTGTAATAACTGTATCAATGAACACTTGAAACACTGTAACAGCGCTCTCTGGTTATTTCTTCCACTTATGTGATCTTTCAAACACAAAACTGATTATGTACCGTTCCTGTTCAACAATGAAAGAATCTACATGACAAGATTTCACAGATATTTGAGTGAGATGCAAAACTAGTCAAGTACAATAATCCTAAACCAGAGTGTTCTAAGATTCACAAGTTGTACACTATGCCAAGATCTTTACCTTCTACCGTATTGTTAAAGCAGTGAAAATTTAGAGAACCCTCTGCAGAAGCTGTGACATGTTGTACTGTATTATATGAAAAAATGCTTTCCTCTTTTTTTTTTTTTTGTAACAATGAATCACAGCAATAATGACCAACATGATGATGAATTTATAGCTCGATGCTAAATGCAAGTACAATACTCTTTTCAAGAAAATTTTTCAAATATTCAAATTGGATCATCATCATAATAAATAAATTTTTTTTGCTACATTCAGGCAAGGTGACAGGCTTAATATTTGCCTTACACCTCAGTTACCACTTTTTTTTTTTTTTTTTTTTTACCACGGGAGAACAAGGCTAACCTGTACTCCATACCGAGACCATTCACTGGTGATATTTGATGGTCTTCTACACTGGGATGTCACCCTGTGATTTTATCAAGTAAAATACAAAACAAAGTCAAATGATGACTAAAATTTGGTTAATTTTTATGTAAAAACATCTGTGAATGAAACCAGAAAGATAGCATATTGGTGTACAGGTACTCCCCGACTTACGACCGACTCGACTTACGTCCACCCGCACTTACGACCTCCTCAGTCGTACCAAAATGTGGTCAAATTATGTATTTTTGAGTCTCAAAGTCAGTACACAGACAAAACTTTCATCTGTAATTCACTTTAAAATGGCTGGCAAACTTAAAAGTGAATGTTTTGTGGTGCTGAGAAGAAAAAGAGACCCAAATTTTTTATTTTCTATGTGTTATTTAAGCATTTCCGACTTACGACCATTTCGACTTACGACCTGGATGTCGGTCCCTAACCCCGTCATAAGTCGGGGAGTACCTGTATTTTGGTTTTTTTTTCAAGATGGGTTAATGTGGTCAGCCGGATGTTGACCTCCTGATGCTTAACACTCTACAGTAAGGTAAGTGGGTTATCCCAAACCCTTAATAGGATATTAGTCCACCTAAGGTTGTTCCACCATCAGCAAGTGCACCTAATGGCGTACTGTACAAGGTGGGGGCCCATTCCTTCACTCTAAGGAATTGAACCCGTGACCATCTGTTCATGAAGCTAACACTCAACCAATTGAATATCATCAAGAGGTATGAAAAAAATGATGGAGTGCAGCATTACGAGGTGCAGTAAATGATACAGCACGACAATTCCTAATTAATCCCATTTAGCTGATCATGAGTCAGATTAAACTAAGGCATAATGGCTACCACAATACGACTTACTCATAATGATACTCTACAAATAAAGGACTCACTGATACTACAGTGAAGGCACACCTGAGAAACATAAAATACTTTGGTACTTATCACATAATTTCACTTCAGATCAAGTTTAGTGCATGGAACCATAACAAAAGAAAATTCTAGAGTAAAACAATTTTTTTACACCATCAGTACAGCATCCCGTGGTCATGTACAGACAGATCTTCCCTCCCCTCTCCTCTATGTACAATATACAACTTAATTGTAAAAATACAAGTTAATAAGTGCATAACAGCAGCTGAAATGAAGCAAGGCATAATACACTTGTCACCAGTGGACTAATCAGTCCTGTATCTGTTTAATGTTAATACTAGCAATTTGTGTGAAGGGTTATGTGATGTTAGGAAGGGTTGTGGGTCTACTCATCTGGGGGTGGGTACAAGTACAGTAACACAAGAGTGGCCAGGAAAATACACAGCAGCGCATAGGACAAGAGACGCTGGTCGGCTGCCTGGAAGGGCTGTGAATGTACTGCAGTCCTGTTGTCCCATTGGGAGGTCTGGGGTTCCTCTAGGGTGGCCATTTGAGGGTCACGAGGGTCAGAAGGATCCAGAACCACGCCATAGGACTTGGTTAATAACAGGGACTCAGAGGGGTTGACAAGGGAGTGGACAGTTGTTAGCACACGCTCAGGGTCAAATTGGGTTACGATATCGTCGCATGCACACACGCACGCCTGTAAAGAGACACCAACGCCGGAGTAAGACGGAGGGAAACCTGTACCACACAAGCTCAAGTGGGGGTCCCCTTCACCTTCCTCAGTTCCCCAGTCACCAATGAGGAATAAACTAAGATTTACTTGATTATTAAGTCCCAGTCTTCACTAGTCATGCTCTATCTACACAAATTCTTTTCATTTAATCTTTTAACCCACCACTTGAGCGCATGCATGAAAGAGTGAGAGTATTTGATTTTTTAATGAGTTTCATGTTATAGTTGAAATTGAGTCTTTAAAGTTATCCTGATCCTTCCCCAGATATAAGGTGTCAGTATGAGCCATGCCACTAGTCTACAGCCTCATACTTTAACTCTAAGTAATTTATGAATGACAAATCTTCCCCATTATGGAGACAATAATGTAATTTAATTAGATGAAACATAAAAAAAAAGCACTGTAAAACCAAGGTAGATGTCCAACGGCCATGCAATAGCTATAGAGAAGGAAACAATAAGATCAAGGGACGAACTAATCCATTGGACTTCAACTAAAGCCTTCCACACCAATCACATTGTGCAAAAGTACCAGTATTTTCTATACCTACTCCCACTAGCAGTGCATAGTTGTCCTCAGAAAGACAAAGCACTGTTTATAAGTTTCATTACAAGAAGATTATAAACAGAAGGAAGACACCAATCTGAGTCCCATAATGGTGCTCACAACAACTGACAAAACTCACACAAGTAAAAGTGCTGCGTATCTCACCTGCCCAATCTTGTGTACTGTAAATGCTAGAACCATATGTCTCTGTTCACTTTTTACCTCCGTGGGGGCTATGTACAAGTAGTAGTAGTAGAGAATAAACCAAGAAGAGAGACAGTGAAGGCACTCAAACACACAACTGTGATGAACGGAGAAGCTCTAGCAGCTTGAAGCTCGACAAGCTTTAACATACATTACATCAGCTTAGCATGTTCTTAGGAGATGTTACTTCAACTCACATATAAATACAATGTTATTCAAACCTTTAACACACAGATCATCAAATGCTTCATCCATAACAAAGATGAATTAATGGGTTGTATGATGTAAAATTTTCTCTTTTTGACTGTGGACATAGGGAGGAGGGGAGCAGGTAGGGATGATGACCTTACATCTACTCTAAGTTTAGCAAAATAGTTTTGTAGACAATAACGAGAAAAAATCTGATTTTATTACATGGCTCAAAATATCTTAAAGTAATTTTTGTAAAGGAAAAAAATTATCTTAAGGTTCTTATTACAGAACAATACCTTATTTTAATTAGTTATATTTACTTAAGATTAACCAATATTCAAATGAAAGATTTACATGAACAAAGATAAAAAGCCTAAATATTTTTTCTATAAAACACACAATCCTTTAAATGCATATATATATATTACACTCTACTTTAATCCGTACCTTTCCATCATGACTTTACTATTAAGGTAAGAAAGTGTCCAGTAAATGAACATGGGAGAGATAACAGGAGGGAGAGTCAGTGCTGAAGCTGAAAGTTCTTGTGTGTGTGTGTGTGTGTGTGTGTGTGTGTGTGTGTGTGTACAGTTAAACATACATGTTACTGTGCTGTGTCTGGTAAGGGTGTTGACATTGATGTGTTTATAAACTTCTAAATAAACACATTTCTCCTTTAGTCTCATCTTTTCTATAACTGTTCCCATGACAACAGACTGGACTAGCATGACAATAAGTGATCTGGGTGTGAAAAGTTTCAATACAGTATGTACACACTTAGTTTACTCCTGATCAATGTATAATCCATAAATCTGATTATTTTCTGTTGTAACTTCTCCAAGAAACATACAAACATAACAGGCAAAGAAATAAGAAAAAATGAATAAAAATAAATAAATAAATTAAATAAAGTAAAGTGGTCAAGGGTACTCACATCCTCAACACCGATCTTTCTGCACGCCTCCAGGAAGTTCTCAACATTTAGTCTGCACTTGGCTATTGTCAGTTTTGGCTGGAATTAAATTATTGTACACAGTGAAAGTAAATTATTATACATAGTGAAAGGTAATTAATTATTATACACAGTGAAAAGTAGATAAATAGAACACAGTACAGTAATACCCCAGTCAGTGCTACCCCATAGAGCACCGTTTCATAATAGCGCACTTGCTTGTATCTTGGAACTCTATGGGAGAGAGAAAAAAAAATTCCATAAAAGTACGGTAGTCACGAGTCCGAACACTCGCAACACGGTGACAGCAGAGTTCTTTGTTTTTAGTCACTCGGCTAATCAGTACCGATCACTCTCTGTTGACTCGCCGATTTATTTATAACATTGTGACCAGTTTTTATTCATCACGTCCTCCACTGTGATGTGTTGGTGAGTACCCCAGACTACAGTGAATTAATAAATGTGGTTTATAATTAAATATTAAGTGTAGGTCTTATTGTATGACATAAAATTGTGTGTGGTTAAGTGTGTGGTGGAGGGTGAATGATCAGCTGTTGAGGAGCACTTGGCAACACACCTCTGTAATCACCCACACCTTTCTGCTTTCTCACTCCATATTTGAAAATGTTATGTAACGTAATAATGAAGGGATACAACGTTGTTCATTTGTACTTACACTCAATTTTGTGGGTAGATATCAGCTGTTCAATAGCGTCTGGTAGTACTGCTTCACTTCCTCACCACTTACCACAATCTACCTCCTCACCACCACCACCACTACCTCTATTATCACCACCTAAATCATAATTTCAGTGATGCAGAGATGAATTAGCTTCAGCCAGAGCAGAGCCATATGATATCCACGACCACCACCCACTGCACCTCACCGCCTCTCTCACCCGTTCTATACTACAATCGTCACTATTCACCAAACGACTGTCTTTCATGATACAATATTGTTTATTTGTTATTCATATATTAATAAAGATACATTACTGTAATAACTTGTGATTATTAATTCTTGTACCCTTCACATACAATACTGTCTATATATCTCATAGGTAAAAATAGAGTCATCAGGAATGCATCTCCATACAGTATATACAATGGTATAATGACCCCTTAAAGCACTGTTTTGGATAGTGCTCCACTTTCCAGGAATGTATCCTGAGCACTAACCAGGGTATTACTGTAATGAGCATCCATTTGTAACAATCGACTTGAGGCAAGTACCTGAACAGTAAAGTACAGTGTGTGTGTATATGCATTTTTTAAATGTACAGTGATCCCTTGGTTAACGAACGCCTCTGTTAACGAAATTTAGGTTCACGAATTACCTTCCATAAGAATATTCAATTCGGTTAACGAAAAAAATTCGGTTAACGAATTCCTTACGAATTTTTCCCAACATGCTTTCGCCTGCTCACCAGCTGTAGTATTAGTCTGCCAATACAGTAATCGGTTTTAGGGCTTAAATTCGTTACCATTTGAGTAAATATCAAGAAGGTTGTACTATTCAATAATTTTCCAAGTCTTATATTAAAATTTTTAGTCATTTTAACAATTATTTAACATAATTGAAGTACAGGGAACTAGTTTTTAGCACACCAAACAGCCACTTGACTCACCCAGAATGGCGTCAGTTTGTGTCTCTGCTCAGTGGAGGAAGCATCTTGCTTGAGACTCTCTTGAACATAAACTATTTTTACGTTTTTACAGTATAATTATTGGTCATTCTGAAATTTATTTTACATATTGACAATATATAATGCAGTGCAGTGTTTATTTAAGAAAATAATCTTGAATTACACCAAGTGAACTTAAAATTTTATGGGTGAAATGGCACAATGAAGCATGGGGTGATTTCTCTTCCACCCCACTGCCTTCTCTTCTCCCTTCTCCTCCACCCCCACTTCTAATTTCCATCATCATCAACCAGGAGCCTTTAACATGCACACCTCAAAGTAAGTGTACTTTACTGCATTTATTTTTAGTATGTATGTAATTTTCGGTGAGCTGGAACCAATTACCCAAAATCCCATTGAAACGATGTTTTCGGTTAACGAACGACCTTCTGGAACGAATTGTGTTCGTTAACTGAGGGACCACTGTACACATAAAAAAGTGGAAATACTTTATATAAAAAATTTCATAATAGACAAACTTACAACCATACAACTCCCTCAACTACTGATAAATCATTAGTATTCTTATAACTCTTGAGGCTAGTTTGGTCAAAGGAATCCATATTGGCCAGGAGTGTAGCAGGACCATCAGTAGATCCATCATCTATGAAACACCTTAACTGCCTCCTCCATGGATAACTAGTCACACTAACTCCTCCCATCCTCCAGGTCCCAGTCCTAACAGCCCCTAACCTTACCATTAGTATTCTGACATAGTCCTATTAATGGGGTACTTAATATGCCCAAAATCAAAGTCCTCATGAGGTATAGTATAAGTACAGTACCCATGTTAAAGTCCTCATGAGGTATAGTATAAGTACAGTACCCATGTTAAAGTCCTCATGAAGTATAAGTACACCCCAATGAAGGCCATAATGGGACCTTTCATATACCACTATCATTATGGCTACTTAAGCTATATTACAGCTGACCATGATTAGGACCCGGCTGACCATGATTAGGACCCAGCTGACCATGATTAGGGCACAGCTGACCATGATTAGGACCCAACTGACCATGATTAGGACTCAACTGACCATGATTAAGGCACAGCTGACCATGATTAGGACCCAGCTGACCATGATTAGGAACCCAACTGACCATGATTAGGGCACAGCTGACCATGATTAGGGCACAGCTGACCATGATTAGGACTCATCTCACCTACAACTCCTTAAAGCAAAAAGTTCTGAACCTTTGTACCCCCACATAATATTCGCACTAGTATATATCCCAACTTTACAATGCTGGGGTTAGTTTTACTCCCGATCTCAAACACTAACAAGAACCTGTAGCTAATTTCCATCTATCTGTTCTTACAACTCTTTCATACCCTACCCTTGCTACCTGAAATTCAAGAGTTAAATAATGGAGGTTCAGTTTCTGTTTAATACTATTTTCACTAACAGCCACATAAAAAAATGTGTGTACTTTTGGCAGGGAATTTCACTTTCTCTCTCTGAAGACAGATTGAGTAGAAACATATAGGAAAATGAAATACAATATTTCCATTACAAAAAACTGCCTATTGTCATTTCAACATATCAAGAAAAAGGGGGTCAACTCGGACCTCAATAAAGATAGGGAAAAGCCTCACCACAGCTGGGGATGGAACATGGATGGAGGAAACAGATCTGGGACGGACGTGGTTGGCCAAGTGGCAGAGGACCACTCCGTCCATTAAGGCTGCCGACATATCTGCTGGCAGCGATACTTTCAATCTTGTTTCTATGATCTGTAATGCATTTAACATCATTAGATTCACATATTATTAGCATTCAAGTAAGTGAAGATGGTGACTCTTATCAGTTTTTATTGTGTAAGAAATATAAGGTTTCAGATGCATGATAAACATTGTCTCTGAAGGATTTAAGTTAGTAGGCTGTAAAGAAAGGCTAGTAAGAGGGATAGTCAAGCCACCTTATGCAAAGTTGAACTGCCTCCTCTTCAGAAAACAATAAGCATAACACCTCATTTGGAGAGGCAACAGCTTAAAAATTCATGAACATACAGAACAAAAATCATTCTTCAACAAAGACGAAATTAGGATATAATTTTTTTTTTTCCAGAAACCTACTATACATACTCAGACATGACTGCTAAAACCTACCAAATCTTCATGTTGGGGAGATAAGAACGAGGTGGCCAATTATATCATGTAAATATCTGGTTCTTTTATGCGAATTGTAAGTGTTTTTGAAATACTACTACAGGTTGTACCTCTCTAGTCCGGCATTCTGTGGTCCGGAACGATTTTAGTTTGTCCAATAGGTAGATAGGCAGCTTTTTTTTAACTTATCTGAATTATTAAAATTATTACAGGAGTATTAAATTTTTGCCCCTCAGGCCCCAATGTGGGTCAGTGACCTATGCCTGGGTGGGCTAATCCCCGTAAAAAAACAACAAAGACGCGGGAAATTAAGGTTTGTTTACATCCGGCAGTTCGGCTGCTCGCTCACTCGCTCTCTCTCTCTCTGCTTGTCTATACAAGTACAAGATTTAACCCTTCAATATATATGAGCAGTAAATAAGTGTTGCTTTCATATTATGTAGATTAATGATGATATGTTTTCACATGTGCACACTTACATACGCGCAGTCTCACTTTTTTTCTTTACCATTAATGGTTAGCTACTTATATTGTTCCATTTATAACATTAAATAACATTACAGGCAGGTACTTCAAACAACCATGTTAAATTTTTTACATTAATTTTACTACAGCTACAATCAGGGTCTTATTTTCTTCAGTTTTATATCAGTCACTGGTTTTGTAAGCATTAACGAAAACAATGCCGGCAGCCGTCTCGTCTCCTCGTGTGTTTTAATATTCCACGTAGTGTTAATGAATTGTATTGTTCATTTTGCACACAAAAATTAATTAAATAAAAAAAATCAGAAACATTAATTAAAATATATATGAACGGTAAATAAGTGATGCTTTCATATTCTTATGTAGAGTAATGACGATATGTTTTCACATGTGCGCACTTACATGCGCGATCTCTCTTTTTTTCTTTACCATTATCGTTAGCTACTTCTATTGTTCCATTTATTAACATTAAATAACATTACTTAAAACAACCATATTAATTTTACTACAGCTACAACCAGGGTCTTATTTTCTTCAGTTTTATATGTAGAACCAGTCAGTCACTGGTTTTGTAAACCACAAAAACAAAGCCGTCTCGTCTCCTCGTGTGTTTTAATATTCTACGTATTATTAATGAATTGTATTGCTCATTTTGCACACATAAACATTAATTCAATCAAAAAGACATTCAGTAATAAACAATAATGAATCCTTTGTACATAAGAGAAATGACGCTGTTTACACGATTGTGCACGTCTGAACATTGGCGAGCCGTTCAAACCCGTCGAAATTTGAGTTTCCACCGTCAAAATTTTGAATTGTTTTGTTTTTTGTGTGTTCCAATAAGAAACGTTGAATTAAAAACTCGCGAAATTTGAGAAGCTACTGTACGACATTTAACCCTTCAATATGTCTTCAAAGAGACCATGAAGCAGAGAAAGTGGTGCTTGTGCTTGTGCTTCCAAGCGTAAGCCCAAGTCACTATCTATCGAGGAAAAGGGTGAATTTCCATGGTCCGGAAATTTCCATGGTCCGGCACCGGTCAGGTCCCGAGGTTGCCGGACTAGAGAGGTACAACCTGTACTACTGCTACTACTTTTTTTTTCTAAGCATGGCCTCCAGCCTCCCCCAATAGCCACACTTTGCCGCCTTTTTATTGCCTTAAAATTAAATATCCTAATACAAAAGTAGCTACCCAATTTGTGATAAGTTAGTTAAGTCGCATATCTATGTGGCATTCAGTGACTCTTGTCTCAAAATCAATATCTGCAACCGTTGTCAGCTTTGGGACCAAAGATCTCATTCCCGAGGCAAAGCAATGCAGACCTAAGCAGAGAGAAGTACAGTCGACATCTCAACCAGGCTGTAAAGTGGCTTCTGGGATGCTGCTGCTGCTCAGACACCTCCACCAGTCTTGTGTAGAAGCGTCTTGCACTGGTCCTATCTCGCTACAGGTTGTGAACACCCGAGAAGTGAAGCTGCCTTGATCAATATTCTGAATTCTCTCCCCATATTCCTTGTTCTTGTCCTTCTCATTCCTCCCGTGTGTAGCATCTAGAGCTAGGTTACGATGACATGCAGCCATGGGGTAAAAAAATCCTTATGTCAAAAAAGGCTCGCTGTCCCCACGTCCAGAATCCTCGAGCGCTGACAACCACACGGGCTTTGTTGGATGTGTTTGAAGTCATGTGGAGGATATTCTTACTGTCCAATGGAAAAGGGTCGATTCCACCGCTGTGACATGATGGCAGATTTCCTTCAACATATTTGATGCGAGATCCCTTATTTCGTCATGCCTCATGCACACGAGGCCCCCTTTCTTACACACCATGTCATGGTCGATGTAGTAGGATGAGCCACACACGCATTGGGAGGGTAAACCTTCTACTGGCTAACAATACCACCACCACTACTACTACTGCACTACTATTATTAATAATAATTACAATAATAATAATAATAATAATGAAAATAATACTGTAATACTACTACTACTACTAATAATAATAATGAAAGGGGTGGGGGTGCATCTTGATGATAATACAGTACTGTATATATTAACTGTATGTACTGTACACACTTCCAGTAAAACTTACATTTCTTAAATTTTCAATCAATTGTTTCTCGTGTTGCTGCTTCTCCAATTCCCGTCTATATGTGAAACTAAGATGGGCAGGAGAGGAGTCTGGATCAAAGGGTCGTCCTCCACCGCTTCGTTTTCTGGCCTTGACTGTGGTGGGAGCCTTGGGTAATGAACTCGTGCTTCCTCGGGTGGTATAGGTACCGGCGGTGGTCTGGGGGGGTAGTGTGGACGTGTGGTGGCCTGTGCTTGAATATAGGTTACTACTACTACTTGTGTAAGGTGTACTGGATACTTGGGGTGCACTAACTGCATAATTAATAGTTTGGCTGGGGTATGGACTAGACGAATAGTTGGCGTGTGGCAGTGTGTGTTGGGGATGAGAGGGATTGGTATGGCTGGCAGGGTAGGAAGAACCATCTCCAGAATCAAAGCTCACATCCGGTGAATTGGAGGAAGACCCTTTACTAGGACTGACACGAGACTGAAATTGACAAAACAAAATATTCATTAGACCTAAAAAAATTACATTAGTAAATGGAACTGTGAATGTATGTGGGGACAGAGAAAGGCATGTGTAGTGTTTGTGCCTCGCAGGGTGCTTGTTTACCTTTAACAACATGAGGAAGTGCTCACAATAATAAGCAAAAGCCAACTGGAGTATTAGCTATAACGTCTGACCCTGGCAGATGACAGGGACTCAGAACTAGAGCAGTTACCCACATAACACAGGTAGTCCGTGAAGCTTACAGCAGAACAATCTGACTGAATAAGCATTTGACCACAGGCAAATTAAAAAGCGTAGAAGCAGTTGCACAGACACACAATAATTAACTATTAATATCAATCAAACACAGTATAGTAACTAAATTCAAGAAGACACAATTCATTTCTTCATAATCTGAACTAGTGATAAAAATCCATATTGTTAATAAATGTTATCAGAAAAGAATTGAATTTCTGTTTTTTTGTTTTTGTTTTTAGACATTTACGTCCATAGTAGAAGATGATCCGCAAGTTGACATCTGCAGACAGGGAGTTTGGTAAGTGGAGACTGTTAGGTGTATGGGGGTCTTGTTATAATGGTAAGAACTGCAGGGAGCCAATTTATGGTTAAACTTGGGTTACAGGAATGAACATCATTTTTATTAGAGGGAAAGTTCAATAGTAAGGAGAATCATGTTGTTTATTACTAAGGTTTTATATCATGCCTCATCACCTCCCACTAAACCTGAGCATTATGAGGTCATTATGCTGCTGAAGTTTAAGAGCAGTGAGATGGTGAGTGTGTAAGGAAGCTCCATGCTGCATGACACCAGGAGTTGAGGGCTAGAAGCAGGCAGATAATTAAAGGTTTATAAGTAACCATAAGTATTTCAAATTTAATAATGTCATTGTTAAATAATTTGGGTTTGTGCCATAGAAAGTATTTACTGAAAGATTAGTCTAAATACCATACTTTAAAATGCAGTGGTTTTAAACACAAACAAGCAACAAAATTGGGAGTACTGTACCTGTACTGTATAAGATAGTAGTACAGTACAGTGCTAAATAAAAAAAAAATAAATTCAGTGTAAGTTAACTAAGTCGAGAAGAACAGCCAATAGGTACTCTCAATATGAACTACTGTATAGCTGATCATTCTTTACTTCTGAACAAACTGTGACATAACTTATAAATCTTAGTTGTGTGAAAAAACTAAATTATACATAATGTTGGTGGATTTATAAATTAGTAGACTGTACTTAATGTGATCATATGACATAAATGACTCTAGTGTCTTACTGTTAACTACCAGACTGCTCTTGTTGACCAGACCACAGCCAGTGACAACCTGTGACAACTCAGCAACAACAACTATAAGAACATTTCACTAGCAAGGGAAGTTATTATGATCAACAGATGCAACTAATGACTCACAAACAATAGGACAATAAAAACAATTACAAAATATATTGATAAGTTGAACACAAGGATGTCACATACAACACATTTACAAACTTCAAATTAACCTGAAACAGTCATTGGCAGACAAGTCAGATATCTGATAGTATAGTCCAGTCACAGGAGAACAAGTCAGACACCTTGACACATAGCATCCCCCTAAAACTTCAGACCAACTTCACACATCTTTGACTCACAGCTGTCCATCAACCACAAAATATGGTAACACTGCATGCAATAAAGACCAGCACATGCAACATGCCTTGTGAGATAAATCAACACAACAGAAGAAGTAATTTAATCAAGTGATTCATGACTGACACCAAACAGTCCACCAGTCAAGTCAAACTCAGATCAAGTCAACTCTTGTGACGTATCACCATCAGTATCGTGCCATTATCATCGTCAAGGCAAAACTCAGCAGCTAAGTTATATCTCAAACTCAGATCATTAAGTAACTTATGACTAAGTTTAGTAATTATGATACGATTTTATATTATGGGAATAAAATATTTGGCTCACTGTGATTGAGTTTAAAAAAATTATGTCATACCGTACACATAGACAGACAAAATCTGAAGACACTAACTCACCGCATACATCAAACAGCAGCAGTACCCATTCTATGCTTAATGTACTTTATATTATCTAGTTATAACTGCCCATAACCCGTGAAGAAAGTACAAGAAGAGCATCGCGTTCCACAGTACAGAGGAGCATCCACAAGTATTCACAGCGATCAGATTGGTTTTCCAGACAATAATTATATACTGACAAATATGGTAAAGCTTTAGAAGTCTATTAAAGTGAGAGAGAGAGAGAAAGGACAGACTCAGCCCTTTAAATATGAGGATTCATTTAAATAAGAAAGGAAGGAGCACTTCTTGTAACACTAGAATTCCTTATCCTTGTTTACTGAATCATTTACGTTGTAATAAGATCAAGCAATAAAGTTCTTCAATCAGAGACTAAGGTGAAGTAGTTCCTTTAGTAAATAACTAAATTTTCTAGGTTCAATGATTTTCTCTGAGGAGGAACTTGTAAGAGGTTCAATATTATGCCGGTTCCTTATAATACTGTATAACCCAACCTGTCGTGAGGGGCAGCGACCTCACCTTTATATAAGACAAGACAGCTTCCTTCTGTATAGTCTTGACGTCTGCTCGCGTCATGTCCTCCCGACTGAGGTCTTGTGGTCGTGGTTGACTAGGCAACCTCTGAGAATATCCATCAAGCTGTAAGCACATTTTTCCTGAAGAGTTTGGTAAATGTACAGACCTTATCTATCATAACCTTACGGAGACATCCATTGCCGAATATGTGTACGAGGGTCTTGACGCCATAACTTAAATATCATACCAATACACTTGCAGTTCATTAGATGCTGAATACAAAAGGAAATTTTAATATACAACTTAATATCAAATAAGATACTAGTCATACTACCTACAAAATAAACAAAATAAAGCAGTTAGAGGAGGAACATACACACTATACAGTACTGTACAACTGAACTGTGCTGTACTACTGTACTGTACTACTGTACTGTACTGTACTGTACAGTACTGTACTGTACAACTTCACTGAACTGTACTGTACTACTGTACTGTACAGTACTGTACTGTACAGTACTAAACTGTACTGTACTGTACTACTGTACTGTACAGTACAGTATTGTACTACTGTACTGTACTGTACTGTACTGTACTGTACAGTACTGTGCTGTACTGTACTACTGAACTGTACTGTACTGTACTGTACAGTACTGTACTGTACAACTGCACTGTACTGTACTGTACAGTACAGTATTGTACTACTGTACTGTACTCAACTACTGTATCATAGGAATGCCGTATATATTAAAATAGTTTTCATTGACCTTCCATCAATACCACTACAGAACTGAACAACCTTCAGTGCTGTAACACAGACTTGCAAGTTAAAGAAGGAACATCTCTGACACATGAGAATACTGTACCAGTGTGGTATAAGTTGTTTTAATGATAAAAACTATGATGTACCAGTAAACATTTTTAATCCAGAACAATGAATTATCATGATGCTTTCTTATCATATCTGTACAACTTCCAAACAGCTTGTGTTTAGCAGAGAAGCAAATAACAACTTATAAGAACAAAGGCAGTTCTTTATGAGACAAAAAACAGCCTCAGCGCTCAATTCAGCATTAGCTAGCATTAGTAAAAAATACTAATAATAAAATACAATTCTAGAGATCTGATAAACTCTTACCATCAACTCACCTCATGTATCACCTGCAGCGCCATCACAAATAACAGCAGTTGTCCATTACTTGATCTCCAAGAATATATCATTTACATGAGAATTCGTTTGCTGCTACTGTACAAAATCTCTGTAAGGATGATTTCTCTTGACTGTTGCATCATGATGGTTACGAGACTTACCCGAGAGAACACCAGCATTGACAGAGGATGTCTCCACCTTGACTCCTTCTGACTGACAGATCTCTAACAGCTGAAACCCCAAAAAACAACCAAAGACCAGACTTCAAGTGGGACCTAAATAATTTAACAGAACCTGGCAAGTTCATTTACAAAGTGAAGTTTTAACTCCTTCTCCAAGACACTGGTAAAATGACGGCAGAGAACAACAAGAAGCAGATTATACATACGCCATTGCAAGGTTTTGAAGCCCCCATCGGATTCGGTCGAGGGTGTGTTGCAACGTCGGTTCGGTGGGATAAATTTTCCACTGATCTGTGTGTTCCATTTTCAGCTGAAGGTGCACTTCCATCTGCTTGTCGTCTATAGATATTATTGTTTTCCATTGCCCTCTTTTGTAATTTTGCTTCAACATACTCTCTGTAAAGGTAAGCAGAACATACAGTTATTAAAACCTCAAAAACATAAAGGTCATTCTATGCTGAAATAAAAAGTACTGTAATTAATTTTTTTTCTCCAAAATTTTAAGTTACTATTGTAGAGGTACTGTACATAACTATGCTACACTGAACAACAAATTAGATAAATCTATTCAAGACTACTGAAGGAGGTAACACAAAGGTACAAAATAATGTTCAAATCATCACTGGTTCTGTTTGTCCCATCTAAAAGAACTAAATCTAATTATCAGTATCTACATAACTGACCAACATTATCCCAATATTAACAAGAGTACAGTGGTAGTATCTCAGCGGTCTCCCTGCTATTTAGCCATCTAAAAGCACAGCTTGATCTAGCTCAGGAGTGGTTAGGAGAGGGTTAATATGATCTTACCTACCAGCTGCATATTAAGCCATTAAGAGAACACCAAGAACTCAGGGAGGAGAGCAGGATATTGCAACTGACTTTAACAGTTCATTTACACATCTAAGTATACACTGTTTTCCTGGGATGGTTCAAACTAAATACATTAAGAACTCCTTTATCTAGACCTGAAGGGGAGAGGCATCCGACATTCTCTTCTTAGCAACACCTTCTGCTGAACAAATTAACAACTAAATATCTCTTATTAGGGACTGAACCCACCCGGGACCGTCGGCTCAGAGTTCCACATACCGTAATAACCACAACAACCACAACCAACCAACCAGTCACACACAAACAATGAATACCCGACTTGTGCTGATATACCACAAATAAGCATCTTGTATGTATTGGTAAATAAAACTAACAGGTCGATATCAGAAGTGGAACTGACATCAGGAGGCAACACAAATATGAGTTATTTCTTGGAAATTTTTTAAAATATATAACTACTAACTTTCTTCTCATTATTCAGCTTCATAAAATAGTTAATTAATTTGTTATACACTAAAACAGTGTCATTTCTTCCCATCAGCAAGAATCAGACAGTATTTTTTCTTCATTTCAGTAAATATTAAAATCATGTCAGGGTCAATAGTGTTAAATGTCTGGGGATGATACTGCATGTGCCTAGCCTCTGTTGGAGAGCTTCAGGAGAGAATTAGGAATCGATTATAGTAGACAGATGCACAGAAAGAAAACCCGATACCACTAATAGATCATTAAAAGTATAAACTGTACTATTATATAATGGCAGGTAAAAGTGGTACAGTACTGTATATATAACATTACTGAAAGAAACTTGAAGAAATGATACAAGGGGTACAGAGCATTACTCCCTTTCATCCAAGATTTGAAGGTACAGTATAGTGTTATAAGGAGCTGATGTGTTAATCCAGTCTGCTGATGGTTCAACAACATTTTTCAAACTGGCTGATCAACTGATGAAAAGTTACTCTAATTTGTTAATGATCTGATGAATATACTGCTTTTATAATGTACTGTACAGGCAACTGCCAGAGTTCGTTCACCTTTCCTGAACCACAAACCCCGAGATTCAGACTCATGAATCCGAAGCATTTATGGACAGAATAATTTATTAGTCCACTGCTTTGGGTTCTTATGTCTGAATCTTGTAGTTTGTGGTTCAGGGGGAGAGGTGAATGGACTTTAGAAGTTGACTCTACAGCAACTAGTGATTCTCAGACTGACTGATTATGATAGTGAATTTACGCCAATGTCTGATATGGTACTTTTAAAGAACTAACACTGATATATTGCATCCTTCACCCTACTTGGATAAGATTTTGGTTGTGTGTGTCATGGGTTGCATGAGGCAACCAACTCCAAAGTTTGTTTTACTAAAGATAAGGCATCCGGCAAGGCATAACTGGGAGATATATTTTCCATTAGTGGTATGTTAGCCAGCCTTTAGGGGGAGGCCAGTGAGACAGTGTTGTACTGTTCATGGCATCACACCCAAAAACCTCATTTTAAGTAGTAACCCCTTGGCCATGGGTTAGCCTGAAGGGAACGGGACACCACACGGAGTCCTCCACCGCCACTCCGTCCTGTGGACCGTCGTCGACACGAGATTAAGCGTGTTAACCTAGGTTGTTATCCCCGTGGAAATATCACGTGTGGATGCCTGGTTGCAACAAGAGCAATCCAGGCTGGCCTATCAAACCTACAGTAAATGGTTAATCAATTCACGCTTAGAGTTCTCCTGCACGACACCCGTCTACAGTGACCGTGATCGACACGAGACGAGATTAAATGTGTTAACCTAGGTTTGTTCCCCGTGGAAATATCACATGTGGAAGCCTGGTTGCGACAAAAGCAATCCAGGGTGGCCTATTGCACCTAAGTGGCTAATTCAAGTCACGCGTACCAGTTCTCCTTGCCGCGACAACGGTCTACAGTGACTGTCAGTGACGTGAGACTATGTGTGGTAACCCAGGAGTACTTTTTTTTTGTTATTCCCGATGAAAGAAGTTCTTGTGTGGAAGCCTGGTTTGCAACAAGAGCAATCCAGGCTGGAAGTAAATGTATCACTTGAAGAATTAAGGCTCTGTTAAGTCATACCTACAATAGAGTAATCACACGTGTTCCCAAGTTGAAAATTCTCTTTTAGAAGATTAATTTTATTACAGTGTGGACGTGAGTGAATCATATATCCATGCAAATTGTAAATCATTGTATGGAAGCTTGACAAATAAATGTAAGTGCAATTATCTGCCCGTATCTGTGATCCTATCTTATTATTACTCAAGGTAATGACTGATTGGTTATGACAAAGTATAACCAATAACTTAGATGGATGTTGGAAATTAATGGAATTCATTAAATCATCATTTATCAAGTATAAATCATGGAATGTCGAGTGGTGGAGTGAACTTCTACGTAGATACGCCATAATCTCCTGTAAGTAACCAGTGTGAAGGTATCGAACTCTACGGTATGAGATATACGAAACACAACATATTATAATCTTTATATAATATAATCCACTCTTACACCACCACGATATAAAAACCATGACAGTGTGTTACTCTAACTGTTAAAGTATTCACTAATGGTGGCACTACACTACTCCTCAGTGATTCCTATACAGTGTGTTACCATTACTGGAAGATGAAAATAACAGTACAGTTTGTGACTCATTCACTGATGACTTTATGTGTATTTGTCTACCTAGAATTTCTTTTTTATAAGCTGTACTTCATTATAGCTGGTTCAGGTTATCACAATGTGGTACTGTATATGACTTATTAGTGGATTAGTATACACAAATTAATGTACCAAGAAAGGATCAATTCATCATAAGGCAGGATTCTGTACCGGTGACCCTTGTTATGAAGATCAACTCCTCCCACAGCTGCTACATCCTCTTATGAACTACAAACTGCATAAATCTAGTGATGTTCTTTATAATATGATAAATTCTGCAGGAATTGGAAATTATGTACAGTAATCTTGTGTATATGTTACCAACAGACAACACAGTGCTCTCAACAACACAACAGACACAATTCCACAACCAGATAATACAAGTTTTAAAGACTACTGTACTGTGTATAGATTTAGTGAAGACAACAATGCAACATGAAGACCACACACCTTGTGCAGGTGTGTGTTAACGAGTCTACAGGTACCTACAACAGCCACACCTTATCACACACATGACCAAGCAGTCGTAAGAAATGCAAGAATGTGATGTCACCTCTGATGCAAGAAAGAGATGTCACCTCTGATGCAAGAAAGAGATATCACCTCTGATGCAAGAAAGAGATGTCACCTCTGATGCAAGAAAGAGATGTCACCTCTGATGTAAGAATATGAGATCACTTCTGATGCAAGACTGGAACTTCTTATCTAATGTAGGAATGATCCACGACATTTAAGAATAACATTTCACACTTGATGCAAGAATCCTCAATCACACCAACAAAACACAGTGACACAAGCATAACATCCTGTAATCAACAACACCTCCTAAACATGGCCAGCAAATATCCAGTGCTCTTCTACCTGACTCGAGAAACTCTCCCTGTCAGAGATAAGCATTGTCCATAAAACCTTGTCATCAAGAGTAAGCAGAGAAGATTATTGCTATTATATATTTGAAATTAAGATGGAAGATTGGCCTTGCATAAACACACAGAGAACAGCACGTAAGCTAATGCAGTCGGATTGTAGCAAGAATAAGCAGAAGGAAGTTTTGTAGTAAGAAAAAAAATCAGTTTCACTTGACAAATACTGTACTGTACATACATTACCTGCCTCTGTTTACCTAATACCCATACTGTATAAAACAAATGATACAGTCAACTATAAAGTCCTGAATGTTGAGAAAGTACTGTGCAATATGAGAAAAGGTCTTGTCTTCTAGTCTTTATCTGGTCTACAGTCTAGTACAGTCGCCTTAAGTGTATAGTCTTAAACAGTGGAATAACAATACGTGTACAGTATTTAGCCGATCATGGGGAGAAAAAAAATCATTCAAGTTTTTTCATTTACCAAATTTTACCAGGATTTTTGTTCCCAATAAGTTTATCCACATAAAGGAGTTCCTTCCCACAGTATCCACTAAAGAGCTATAAGTCATTCTTGCACACAAATCCTATGTCTCTTCCTCCCTAACCCCACAAAAAAAGAAAAAAAAGACCAAATAAGGAACTCTAGGAGCCCTGGATGAGGCAGTGAAGCAAGGCTGGGACACCAACCTGTAGGTGGGAACGTGGGCGTGGGAATGTTGGGAGGAGGGGTGGTTGGGGGGGATGTAGCCCCCTCCAGGATCGGGGTTATGGGGATGGGGGGGCTCAGGGGGATGGCGAAGGGTGATGCCCCCGTTGCTGCTGCTGCTGTGGTTGCTGTTGCTGCTGCTGTGGCTGCTGCTGTGGCTGCTACTCCCAACATTCCAAATAGCACCACTGTTGCTGAAACACAACCGATGGCCACACAATCAGCATGCAGCCATGCACACACTCGCACCTCATTCTTTACCAATTGACTAACTCATCCAGGGATGGATTTTGGGTTTGAACATTAAGAAAATTTGTTCAAATTATTATGAGGAAAAATAAATAAACAAAGTCAAGGCATCTAAAAATAATTCAAATCATATCTAAATTAATGAAGCAAACTATTCTAAAAATAAACTCTTTTAAATAAACACAAACACTGAGATGACAGCAAGGTGATCTATATCCTTGGGGGAACTTCTGAGTGATTGTGGACATTAATGTGCTGACTGAGGGTACAGTAATGTATAAGTTATGGGGAGACACAACATGCTTCTGACAGACACAGAGAATAAGACTTGCACGAGCTCAGTTATTACACATGCAACGTTAACAAAGATATTATAGAGAGATGTTATACTAGGATGATATTAACATGCTAGGATGATCAACATTACCAACATACTGGAGTCACCTGAGTGTGTAAACTTAGTAAGAAATACTGTAACTTGTAAAACTGATTACTTGTTTATAAGACAATATGGGGTGTTCCTCACAGTAATAAGACCCACAGACTTCATGTCATAAGATGTCTTACATCTATATTACTGCAGGTAAATGAAGGCATCCAAACACTGCCGAGACATTAAAACAAGTGAATGTAGCGCTGCCATGCAAGTACCTCGTGTATTTTTGAGCTGATGGCAACAACAGACGCAGCGAGGCACACACTGTATGTGTCTACTGATCATGACTCTCAGGCACACACAAAGTTACATATAATTAGCATTGTATTACAGTATTTTATCACATATGCCACAGAATTCCATGTTTTATAAAACATATCTCCCCTTTTCAAAATAAGTGAATATTTTCCCTAGATAAATTGATGCTACATTGAGTGACAAGACAGTCTCAAACCAGAGATATATTTGGGGCCTTGTTATGATGACCATAGCACAAGACATCTGTTACACCAGTAATATTAACTGAATGACAGTGAGTGATGGGAAAGCCTGAGCTTACTCTTAATTCCAGCTACCCTGCAAGACAACAGGAAAATGCTTGGAAAATTTTTACACCTGCATATCACAAGCCATAACCAATATACCAATGAGAAAAGTTCCTCACTTAGACACATCTGACTGACATTGGCCACACAAAAACTATTTATGTGCTTGTGATAAAAATATATAAGTGGACACTTGGCTAAAACCAAGATGCCTCAGGAAGACGTTACAGTCCTGTACTGTCCCTCGCCACGCCTATAACAGCACGGTTCTTTTATATCAACGGACTCCATTATCTGTCCTCTTACGTGGTCTCAATGTTCTGGTTCTTGTAGAGAGAAAACAAAAAGTCACAGACCACACAAATCCAGTCCCCTCTTAGTTCTTACCTACACATAAGAACATTCACATAAGAACATTCCAAAGAAAATTCAACAAACCTGAGTTTCAACTAGAGAAATTATCATGCTTTCAAGAGTTATGAATACAGTCTGGCAGATAAACACACACACACACACATAAGCATACAGACAGACACAAACACTAAGCCAATAAGACAAACAAACACAGAAATACAAGCAAACAAAGACACATCTGGATGATGTTGGGTGAATTCTCGCCACATATTCTCACTGTTTCACACCAACACAAACGTCTGATATCGCTGCTTTATTCTCACAAATAAAATCTTTACTGTACAGTAAGTCCTCGTTTAACGTTGCCCCCGACAACATTGTTTCATTATAACGTCGCTATTCTTTAGATACCCATGATTCAGACAATGTCCCGACCATTCGGTGCAACGTCGTCACGGACTACTTTGTACGGCGCATCACCCTCTCTCATCTTGGGGCGCTACGCTCTCTCGCTGAGCGTCCCCAGTCTTTGTCAGGCTTCCACAGCATTCATGAATGTTTAAGTGTTTTTGCTCTAAATACTGTACTGTAACCATTCGAAATGGCTTCCAAGCGTCCATCAAGTGCTAGTGATGCGAGTGTTGTGAAGAAGCAATGTAAGACCATTAGCCTTGCTACGAAAATGGAAGTTTTAAACCGTTTTGAGAAAGGTGAACATGTGGTGGACATTGGTGTTGTGCTAGGTCTAACCCCTACAACAGAGCTTACTATCTGGACCATCATAGACAAGATTAAGGCTAGTGCTGGAAGTGGTACTTCTATGAGTATAATATATACTATTTTCTATAAAATTTCCATTGAATTTATGTATATGTAATGTATTTCATGGGGCAAAGGGAGGCTGAGGAACATAACTCCCGTATTTTATCGTTTTCTTATGGGGAAAATCAATTCCGTTAACGTCGCGGTTTTCAGGAACGGAACCACGACGTTAAGCGAGGACTCACCGTATTACCTTCATAGACTTGTACCATCAACAATAACATCATATTACAACGGCAGACCAGTCATAGTAAGCACCTCAAGGACACAAGACAAACTGACGGCCATGCAAGATAACACACCATCATATTCACTCCTTGTTAACATACAATTATTGCCTCCAAATGGTAATAAAAAATGAAAAACACAACCACACACAGACACACACACATATGCGTACATGCATACACACAGACAGACACACACTCACAGATGTACTGTACACACACTCTTGTTACATCTTACCTTCTGTATCTGCTGAGAAAGTATGAAATAAATCTGGGGCAGCAATAACTTTATAAACATTTGTCATACAGAAGTTCTGAGCATAATAAGATATTCAATTGCCCCATCATGCCATTAACTGAGAAAGCTACAAGCGAGTTAGTAGGAGAGACGCATGCCAGGTTAGCGAGGCAGCAGAGGTTACGATGGTGGAGCTGACGACGCAAGCTCTTGATGATGTTAGTGAACTGTTAGACCTGTCATTAACCTTAGCAGCTCCCTAACTTATATCTTGTATGAATATAACAAAACACAATAAAATATCACAGCATAAATGTTATTCACAATCCATATATCTCACTGTGTCTTTCACTTGGTATGGAGTACGAGGGGCAATGTTGGCGCCGCTGTGGCTAGGAATGTGAGTGTGATTAAAACAGTTTCAGTACATGTATGTGTCCATGTATGTAATAAAGTGAATATATACTGTATACATGCATTTATGTCCACACAGAGTATAGGGGGGGGGTGGAGGGAACATGTACAGTAACACGTGCAGGGGGGGGGTAAGGACCTCAGATAAGCCTCAGTCAACGGGACAGGTTGTCTTCCACGCCATGACCACACAGCCTCACTTATGGCTCCTGTTGCCTCACCTCAATTCACTCCATCTGGACATTAATGCTACTGTACTCACCTTTGATTTTCTTTTATTGGTGAATGATCATTCCCATAAATGTTCTCATAGTCCTGTCTCATCTTCAGGGCCTGAGAGGGGAAACAGAAGCCGTGTTGTATAATTTTATTACCACAACGCCTGAGCTCCCAAATATCAGGAGAACGTCTCACAAACCACAAAATGGAAAACTGTCTTCTATTCCAGACTTTACCCAACATGATGGTGCATTTGACATTTTGAACTCTTAAACGTTAAAATCCCCAAAAGGCAAATATTGTAATGACAAACTTTCTCTGTGCTGTTAGGAAAAGTCTCAGTTTTAAGGTCAAAACAATATTATATACTGTACTGTACATGATAAAGTATCTTTTGAACAAGTTTCATCAATGCTTTATGAGTCTGCAAGATATTGTGTTATGAGAAAAGGCTGTGGACTACCTGGCTGTGCAATTCTGACCTTCAACTCCTCAAAAGTCACAAGTCCAAAAAGTCACATCAACATGACAAGGAGAGTTTGGTACCAAGTGTGATCAACATCTGATATATGCTTGGAAATTTCTCTTTATATCCTGAAGACTTTACAAGTGGACTAACAGTTAAATAGATGGCTGATGAACACTGGTACAGGAGCCTCACATATACACAGGTTCTAGAGAAATGTCACTTGTTGCTTCTACACGATACTAACAATCAACGAGTACTATATAGAGATTTTCCGTCGGCTACTAAAAAAATTGGTTCAAGATTCCGGTTGCTGGCTATCAAGGTACAAAGAGTGCAGGAGAGTCATTACCTTGTTGAACTCATCCTCTAAGTTGAAGCCATCCCCAGGACTCAGTGTGCTCGGTGTTGACAAACCACTGGTGGCAAGTTCCCCCGTCTGTTGTGTTCCGTAACCCGAGCCATTCACTCCCTGCCCGATATTCGTCTGAGAGCCGTTCATCCCTGGACTAATGCCCCCGTTGGGTATGCCATTGACCGGTCGAGACGGAGGGCCACTACGGCCCCGTTCTTGTCGTTGTTCCTTGGTACAAGCTGCAGCCCTAACAGCCAGCTTACGTGGGTCTTCGTATTCCAAGCTCTGTATAAATATAACGATAAACATACTGATAAAAGTTGCCGTTTTAATTCCGCACATTATTATAATTACGGCAGAAAAACAAACAAATCAATAATACATGAATTAATTTGGCTTAGGATGAAAATAGAGTAAATAATATCTAGTATCAATAAGACACAGTGGAGGGAGGATACACACCTCTTGACTTTCCTGCGACCATCTCTGGTCAACACTCTCACACGTACTATACCCGCTATCCATCGTACTACGCTTGTGACGGGGATCAAAGAACCCGTTCACAAACCTAAAACAGAGAAACACATTTTACTGGTATTGTCAAAAAATCATTCATACTAATTTCACAACCACAATGTTCTGAAGATGGCACAAGAACACAAATTATTGCATACACTTGTCCATACCTCAGCATCTTATAATAGTCCTGGAGGAGAAGAAGAAAGAAAAAACAAAAACAAAAAAAACAGTAAAGAAAGATAAATCAATAAATCCCCAGCAGCGAGCAACTATATGAAAGTCTCTCATAGTAATGTCTCTTAATATGTCAATGGATAACACAAGGATACTCACTGACAATTAGTCTTCATAGACAAACTACTTCATAAATATTCAAGTCTCTGTTCCAGTAAATTATACCTGATATGAAAACTGTGATATAGATAATTTTGTTTGGTTTCTTCTCACTGATTGGCAGGAAACAACTATCTTTTGCATGAAGTCAAAATTTTAGATATGAATTCAGGGCTTGAGTAGAGAAGTTTATGGGATGTCACAACAGAGTAAATGGCTGATGGATTGAAAGATTTGTGTGTGTGTTTCTGTTGTTGATTCTGGCCATCCTGCAGCACTGGTAAGTGGCTCACAAATGAGAGAGAAAAACAATTTTATGCATAAAATAAATTATCTTAGATGATTATTTATGATGTAAATTAATATTAATATAGCCAATGACTTTATCACATGTTTATACTGATAATTTATTTTCATAATTGATAAGAAAAAGAAAAAAAATGAAAGAATATTCTTCAAAGAAACAATAAAGGTGCAAAATCAGGTACAGTATAATAATGAGATGCATAGAAATGAAGAAGTATTAGTTGTGCCGCCTCAGGCCAAAGTTCTGCCATTATAAGGTCAACAACAGCAACCTAGGATTACAACATAATATTTCCTTCACACGTTATTATACAAAACTCTTTAATACTGTGTAGTAAAGTATGTTGTATGGAGATGGTACGAGCCTTAAGTCTCACACAACATAATGATGTATCCATAACCTTAGTGATTATGGAGCCAAGAGCACACCACTGTTAAGATACTGTACTGTACTGTACTGTACTGTACTGCCACAATCAAAGGTTGCTGTCATGTTTCCTCAGCCCTTTCTGTATTAGTAGCGACCGAGCAGTTTACTATGTTAGCCGTTGCTCTACACACACGCACACACTAACATGCCTCACAACTTACATAGGTTACAAGTACTACAACTACCATGGCCACGACACTACGCAGGAGAGGTACCGACCACCCCACGTCGGCTGGAGAGGAACCCACACCCTCTAAATTTTCCTTGGTGACCTCTGACGGAGAGTCCTCAACCTCCCTAAAAATTGAGGCATAAAAGGTTGTCTATTTTGTGCAGCAGTCACTTGTGGTACCTGAAGTACATCACCGCACTGTACTAACTTCACCCCCCACGACACAAACTTTCCAATCATCTTTGAAAACATTAAGAGTGCATGACACAATATGTACACATCAAACTAAGCAACTTCAGTAAAACTTTTAAATAATAATCAAATTACTCTTAACATTTCTATCGCAGTGAGAGTAATATACCATTAATCACATAATGTTATCCATTAAACTAAAGCAATTACAGTACTGTATAGCATTAATGACCTGAGCAGTGTGTTACAGGTGATGTGAGCCCCAGCAAGAATATCAGGCCTTTATAACCAACACACTTGTAATCAATCATCTATTGGGACACTTATCTGATTAACAAGACATTAATAAAAGCTTTAATGATTATAAATATATACAGTTCAAATTGTCAAGAGTAACACATAACACAAAAGAAAGGTTAGGAAGGGAAAATTTTAGAAACTTTTAGTAGGAGAATAATACTGTTCATAGTTGGTACAAATCACCATCACGTGACCTCAGCACCTACTCAAAACTTATACACTATTGCCCACATTATGAGTATGTTTGTCGACTCATAATCTTCAAGAGTACATCTTCTAAACATTCATCAATGATTATATACTTGATTCATTGTGTAAAGGAAGTCTTTTTGCACATGTTCGATGGTTCATGTATGTCTTTCTCGCTCACCCTAGAGTTTCCTACACAGTACAATAGACTCTTGCAGTAATTATCTGTCTAGTACACCAAGTACCAGCAAACTTAAGTTATCCACAGTTTCTGACCATCTACCTACAACACTTACCTATCAACAGCTTAAAATGGACTACAGTACTGTATCCCAATTCTATCTTTTAATCGTAATTTCTTTCAGTGTGATATATTAAGTGAACAATTTGGTGGCACTCAAGAGCCCTATCGTGTCTTCTATTGCTGATTTGGCCGAGATAAAACATGTTGTGTACTTAACACCGCCATTGAATTCAGTCTACGAGGAAGGACAGTTTATGACATTCGCACCAAGAAGAGTTACTAACGTGTTAAACTTTATGTTGGTCAACAAGCATATGAGTCAAAGCAGAAATCAGTGCATGGGACAGGGATGCCAAATGTCACCTTGTACATACGAGAACCTCAAACAAACCTGCACTTGTGGTATTATAATGAGTGCCCTGAGGCCATCAGCGAAAGCAAAGGTACTTGATAGAAAAGTGGGCATTAAGGCGGCGAGTAACAATCCTCCAGGTTAGTTAACATGTTTTAAGCATCACTGTGGCATCCACATGCTCGTCTTTTCAGGAGAGAAAGCAACTGCCAAAGAGGAATTACGTGATGCTTACACCAGAGATTTGCAGAAGCTGGTAGAGCACCACAACCTCTCTCCCAATCAAGTGCTTTATACTGAAGAAGCTGCTCTCTCTCTCTCTCTCTATAAGGGATGCTTGTTAACACGGACTCTAGCTGCTGGTGAGTTGGCCTTAGCATCGGGATTTTATACAGACTACGGGCAGGGTCATCATCATCATCTTAACTTGTGTGAATGCTGTGGGGGCGCACCGGCTTCGGCTTCTTGTAATCGACCAGGCTGCCAAGCCCCATGCATTGAAAAACATAAAAAGTGCTTCCCATGCATTATAGAACAGATGACACAATGTTGAATGATGCAGAGAAATTTTCTATGAGTGATATGACACATTTGAACCCATTGTGTGTTTATCCCCTAAGTGATTTGTTCTAATGAGGTTCGTTGTGGTTTGGTTGATCACTATAACATCAAACATCTGCAGGTGGTTTGTCCCTAACGTCTGCAGGTAAGGGAGAGTCTACTATATAATTAACCTTAACTGTCTCACCTAAACACTATCTCTTATTCATGTCAATACTAATTCAGTGATTCATTCTCTCTTTTAATATCACCCAATTCTCTTATTGGTCTTCTAATCCATCATCCAATCCCTTTCAAAGATCTTTACTTCATCATCCAATCCCCTCTGAAGTCTGCATCTTGTTTCAAACTTCACTACTCCCTCACCATCACCCACGACCCTGACGGTATAAACAACTCACAGGAAACGGCCACAAAGAGATGCACTTCATTCAATTCACACTTGGACGTCCCTCTACATCATGTTTTAATTCTTCCTTATAGGCAGTACTGTACGACTGTTACAACACACACTCATTTACTTTGTCTTCCACTCCTCAAGATCTATTTTACAGCTTGTCTAATTCATGTAACTAATAATATATATTCTCTAAGGCTCCCTCGTGAGCAAGATCCTTGAATTCAGATTAAAAATACCTGTCACATCATATCCAGAGGGAGTTGGTCTTAAGTAAAACAATAAATCATGGACTCGATGCTAAAATAAAAAGGAAGTCATTTTTAGTTCAGTATGCAAAGTTTTGGCAACACAAATTTCTTCTTGATCACAAATACTACAGGAAAATTATACAGTACTGTAGAGCGTTAAGAGCTGTATGACACAAGATGGTTGTTCTGTACCGAGACCAATGGACAGTGTGTGAACTGAACGGTCTCTAACCCTAGTGAGGAGTTTCTACATCAACTTAAGAAGAAAATGTACCAGCTTATTTTTGGTTAATTTGAATTCTGCAAGTTTTAATTTCTTTCAATGCTTTCTTTTCTCCTTTCTTTATTATCAACCCTCTCTATTAGTTCTCTTGGCTATTTTCTCTTTCCTGACGGTCTTTTTGTTTTGTTTTGGTTCCTCCTTCCTTTTTACACTGTTCAATGACTATGCCTACTTCTATATCTTTATTACTTGTTCTCTCCTAGTTTTTTAGTAATTTTCTATCCCAATTTCTATTCATATTGTTTCATCTTTCTGTTGCTCTCCTCTTGCATAACAGCTGACACAAATCAAGCTATTGTTCTCCGAGTGGGCCTGACTTACAATGGAGAGCTCTAAGACTTGTGCTTCAAGACTTGTAGTTACAAACTATGCCTTTATTTATACACCATCCTCAATTCAAGCAGGAAAGAGTGTTATTACAGTGGCCTAGCATATGTTTGTCCCATATACTGTACTGCGCCACTGTACTCTAACTAGCTAACCTAACTTAACCGACCCTAACCTAACCTAACCTTCATATTCTGTCACTTCTTCCCTTATGTTTTACAACATTCTCCCATTGCTTCAGTTTCATATGCTACCAACAGTTTGAATTCTAATGTAGAAAATCTGTTAGAAATATTACTTTCATACACTCAAAAGACAGCATTATTTATCATATTCATTGTGAAAGCTCCTGACTCTCCAACAAGATAATATATAAAGTTAAACCTGACCATCACGAGTACAGTATACTGTATGAACAGCCATACAATAACTGAAGTACTGAACCCCTACTGTACTGTACTAAGTGATCTTACCTGCTGGAGGTGTATTAAACAGCACACAGCTGATACAATACATTACTGTAGGAATTTTTTTGAGTTCTAGATTTTAGTTTAGATTAATGAAAATATGTAACAGAGTTGGAGTCATATTATTGTGCTTGTAACTAGCCTCAAGGCATAGTGTAGCAGTAGGACAAACCAACTGTATGACCTTTGGTTAGTTGTTAAAGCTACAGTACAGTACTTGTGTTTAGTACATGCAGTCTTGATGTGAGTCCTTACCTGAAATCAGTGCAAGATGATGGCTTTCTTAACTGCAGTTTTCGGAACTCTATTTCGGTCGTCAAAATGCCTCTCTTCTTGTCCTCTTTCGCCGCCGCCATCTCTAACCATTTAAAAATATGAACCCGCCCTCTCGTACAAAGCTGAAACAGTGAGAATATTAACTTATAATCACCTCGGGCCCTTTAACTGTAAATCTGATTGTTTCCTTAATAAATATATTTTATGTCTGATCTGTCATTTGATTCTGGTCTTCTTTTCAATAATCACAGTATTGTGCTGTATCTCATAAAATAAAAAGTTTATTGTTTCTAAATATATTCATCTAAAATTGACTAGGTAATGAACCAGATTGTTCACAACACTGAGTTCATTCAAATTCAGGTTCCAACAATAAGACACGAGTCCATTCCTTAAGTCTTTAAATCTGTGGACAAGAACTGAAGAATATGTCAGTGAGGCTCCAACTGCTCTCCATTTTATCAAGGGAGTGAAGCTCACGAGTCTCAGCTGTACATATCATCCTTATCTCTCTCGTTAAATATACCACAACACACTGGGTGGTTCCTCACACTTTATGACTCTTGGAGCCTCACTCTAGCCAATCTGGTGTGTGTCTGGCTTAGGCATCCACCCCTACAACAAGTCCACAAGCAGTACAGGTATAATCATCCACACAAATTACCACCACTTGCCTCTGGGTCACTAAATATGTACTAATCAACCTCAGCTGGTCTCAATAATACTCTTTTAGGGGAAATAATCGACTAGTTTGAAGGGAGGATTCTTAAGACACAGTAATCGGGTAAGAAGTTGTTCCCCAACCCTCTCCTGAAACACAGTCATAAATCTACAGCGGGGGGGAAGGGGGGGGAAGGGGGATTAAGTGCCTACATTGATGATACATTATCTACATTCAATAGCACAGTTATCCACAGCAGCAAACGGGTTAATACTCACATTAGCGGGAGGGTGCTGGAGAGGATTATTGTCTAACGTGAGAGTGACGAGAGAGGACATGAAGCGTAGTTCAGTGGGTAAGGTCGCTATCCTGTTACTGCTCAGGTCCATCAACACCAATCGTAGGAAACATAATTCTGAAAGAGATAAAACGAGTCACTAAAATAATATAATAAAAAATAAATAAAAACATTCTGATCATCTTTGGCAAATCCATCAGAATTTTGGTGTTGGTGGATGGCAAGTGAGTGCAGGAAAGAGGTAATAGGACCCAGTTCCAAAAATGATAATACTGTATAGTTAAGTTAAGTTAGGTTAGGTTAGGTTAGGTTAGGTTAGGTACAAGGCCCAATTGACTTGCAACCGAGAAGTGTCAAGAATCATCCTTACTCACTGCCAACCATAAGAGGGTGTCACACAGTCTGGCCAGAGATACCACAAGTGACTCACCCAAAACAATGTGTTACGCACGTTACATTATATAATAGCATGTCTCTTCCCCTTCCTCTCTCCTGTCACACACACTTTTTACTCTAACACATTCTCCTCCTCCTATTTCTCTTTTTCCCCATTCTCTTTTTTCTCCCCCTCTTCCTGTTCTTCTTCTTTTCCTTCTTACTTCTCATCCAACTTTTCTTCCTCCTTCTTAAATTCTATATTTTTCTTAATTTTTAATCCTTCCGTTGCAGAAATTACAACCTATTTACTTATTGATGATGCTGTAGCAGATAAACCTTAGATCTAATGAATGATGCTTTAATAACCCTGCAGCAGCTGTGGTACCTAAAACAACAACAACAACTAACCATCGCTGGGGTTCCTCACTTGCAACAAATTATACTTAATTATCAAATTAGACATAATAAGCCATTCGCTGCACTTGATAATTACACTTGCCACTAAAACACATAAGAGTAATCCTTCACTATCCCAAACCTAAACTATTCTTAAAGGTTCATACATTACTTAAGAATGCATCTGACTCACTCACTCAAGACAAATTCTCAAAGGTTCATATTATAACATTCCTCCTTTAACTGCCAATTATAATGCATCTGACTAAATCAATTAAGCCTTGACACAAAAATATTACTAACAACGGCACCAAAAATGCATTAAGAGACAAGACGAAGAACTTAACTTTAAAACACCCGAGAAAACCTATGCTCCCAGATCATTAATACTGTACTACCTGTATAGTGAACAGTATAAAGTGATCTTTCAATAATCAATGTAAACTATACTGCAACTATCTTACGGTACAGTACATTGATCTATAAGCCTGGGAAACATTTGGTATCTACGCTGTAAATTTCGTAATTGTTTTCATTATTATTATAGTCTTATTATTATTATTTTTCTATTCACCATTCTGCACTGCCTGATTGATGAAGATTTTTCTACATACACAACCAGGTTTTTTTTTTTTGTAATGTGAAACCTGACTTGCATATTATAACCTAACCTAACCTAACCTAACCTAACCTAATGTGTATTGTTCTAACCAAATATTATCTATTCAAACATCCTAACCTAACCATCTCTAACCTTACATAACCTAATTCAAACTAACCTAACTGTCATGGTTTTGGGTGAATCGGCGGTAGTAGGAGTGGATTATATTATATAAAGATAATAATATGTCGTATTTCTTATTTCTTACCGTAGAGTTCGACACCTTCACACTGGTACTTACAGGAGATTATGGCGTATCTACGTAGAAGTTCACTCCACCACTCGACATTCCATGATTTATACTTGATAAATGATGATTTAATGAATTCCATTAATTTCCAACATCCATCTAAGTTATTGGTTATACTTTGTCATAACCAATCAGTCATTACCTTGAGTAATAATAAGATAGGATCACAGGTACGGGCAGATAATTGCACTTACAATTATTTGTCAAGCTTCCATACAATGATTTACAATTTGCATGGATATATGATTCACTCACGTTCACGCTGTAATAAAATTAATCTTCTAAAAGAGAATTTTCAACTTGGGGACACATGTCGTTACTCTACTATGGGTGTGACTTAACAGAGCCTTAATTCTTCAAGTGATACATTTACTGCCAGCCTGGATTGCTCTTGTCGCAACCAGGCTTCCACACGTGATATTTCCACGGGGATAACAACCTAGGTTAACACGCTTAATCTCGTGTCGACGACGGTCCACAGGACAGAGTGGCGGTGGAGGACTCCATGGTGTGGTGTCCCGCCCCTTCAGGAGGAGAGAGTCAAGACGACTTAACCGCTTCTCGCGGTAGTCAGGATACTACTTAAAATGAGGTTTTTGGGTGTAAGCGATGAACAGTACAACACTGTTTCACTGCCCACCCTAACGCAACCCATGACACTAACCTATTATAACCTAACTCATGCTAACCTAACCTAAAGTAGCCTATTTCACACTTACCTAACCGAACTTAAACCAGTATATCATAAAACACACTAACCTAACCTATTGTGACCTAGCTCATCCACACCCACTATAACCTGACCTATTCTCACGTGACCTATTCCCCATAACCTTACCCTGACCTAATACGACTTAGGGTAGGTTACATAATAAAGAGGTTGACGACCATGAAAGAGACAAGCTCCCGTCACTTACCATAACAGTTGTAAGGTGACCAGAAATTTCCTCACCACCAACTGCAGTGACTGAAAATTTCCCCACCACCAGCTGCAGTGACTAAAAAAAATTTCCCCACCACCAACTGCAGTGACTAAAAAATATTTCCCCACCACCAACTGCAGTGACTAAAAAATATTTCCCCACCACCAGCTGCAGTGACTAAAAAATATTTCCCCACCACCAGGATATTCCAGTTGAAACTTTTCTTCCGGTCAAAACATTTTATTTTGATGAACATTTTTTTTTGGGATTTCCTGATGGGGACTTTTTTTTTTACTATAGTCCGTAACTTAAATTTACGTTTTGTTGTTGATGACGAGGAGTCGATTTTGACATGTCTCAGTTCACCAAATACTGTCCCATTACAGTGTTTAACCTTTTTATTATTTTCCTTCATTTTCTTCGTTGAATTCATTACGTTCAACACTTCCTTGTGTACAGTATGTGTATATTTCATGCAGATCCACAATGAAAGTATGTGTATATGTATAAAAAAATAAAATAAATAAATATTGAAGTGATAACCGTGGTAACACTATGAGATGTACTTATTACCACCATGCTATTGTACTATTCCAGATAATACTAAATGTTAGGCTACATAATACTTCCTTGAGATAAATGTATAGTATATATCAGGTGCTTCAAAAAGAGCTCAGGTTCTCAACTGTCTCAGCCGTGTTAATATTGTTATTATTATCCACTCTGTATCTGTATTTTTCTGGTTAAATAAACTGTTACAATTCAGTATAATATTACCACCTTCTAGTATAGTACGGTGAAAACGTTACCACGGCCTCCTGACCAAACCAGGGGTGTGTGGTAGTGGGGGAGAGGGATGAAGGAGAAGGGAAGTGGTGAGGAAGGGGAAGAAGAATGGTAGGGGAGGAAAAAGAAGGGAAAGGGAGATGGAGGAAAGCAGGGAGGAGGGGAGGAGAAACTTGTAGAGAGGAGGGAGGGGAAGGGAGGAAGGAGAGGAGAGACTTGTGGGAAGGGGGAGAGGAGGAGTGTATAGTGGGGAGGATAGAGGATATACGCTAGATCCCGGTGTGGTCTGGGGAGTGGGAGGGGGGCGAGGGGGAAAAGGTGAGGGGTGGGGGAGGAGTGGTAGAAGAGGGAGGCGGTGAGGTGGGGGGAGGAGAGGGAGAGGAGGAAGTGTGTGGGGGGGGAAGGGTCAGAGAGGTGAGGTGATGCGAGGTGAGGGAAGGAGGGAGCATGAGTCACTCTTGTAAGGTGCTAGTCACACTCCATGAGGCTCTGTGTGTGTGTGTGTGTGTGATGGTGTAAGAAGTTAAGTTTATTATCTTAACAGTTTCTTCAATACACATGATGTTTACAGGCGGCCTCAAGACACCCTTGTGTATGACCTTACACAACCAACTAACTTTTGTACACATGGATAACTACGACACGACAACTGCTACTACAACCACTACCATCACTACTACAACCACTACCATCACTACTACTACTACTGTACTATCACCCGTACAGACTTGAAACTGGTCCAATTGATCATTACTGATAACTAGTGAGTGACAGATGCTATGGGTGGGGGTGTAATGAGGGTGAGGAGAGGGGGGGTGAGGAGACGGGGGGTGAGGAGAGGGGGGGAGAAGGGGTGAGGAGGGGGGAAGGGGTGAGGAGGAGGGGAGGGTGAGGAGGGATGTTGTTACGATCAATACCCCTCCCTCCCCTCCTTTCCTTAACTATCCCTCACCTAATTACCTCCCCCCCTCTCCTATTATTACCTACCTATCTGCCCTCCCACCCCTACCTCCCCATCATCACCCCACACAGTCATCCACCTCCCCCTACGGCTGTCACCTGATACTGCCCCTCGTTCAATAGAAGTTCAATAAATGTTCGTCTTGTTCTTGGTGCCACTCCCAGGTGAGGCTACACTGTCTTTTAACCCTTGAGTACGATAACTTGACTACCCTTGAGTACGATGACTTGACTACCCTTGAGTACGACCACCACAACCACAATCCCCAACAAGAACCATCACAACCACAATCCCAGCAACCACTACACCACAACCACCACGATTATCACCCCAACCACAATTTCTTCCCCTTTACCACACATGGTTAGCATCCGCCTTAGTTCCGCGTAATGGTCTCTCTCTCAGAAAAACGGAGAAGAAATACACAAGGAGACTGCAAATAAAAAAAAAACGTAAAAGTAAAAACAATCAAAGAAAACAACGGAAATGGGAATAAATAAAGAAATGGGAAATTAACAAAGAAAATTGGGGGTGTAGACAGAAACCTCCGGAGAATTAGAAATGCTAAGAGGTTGTAGTAGATATAATGGTGGTAGTAGTGGTAGATGTAGCAGTAAATGTAGTAATAGTAGTAATGGTAATGGTATTGGTGGTAGTAGTAGATGTAGTAGTTAAGCTCACGGCAGCCCTCACTGACCACATAATAGCTCAGAACGCAACAGGTGAGGTGGATACCAGTGAAGTAAATAAGATTCGAAGGTCCATTACGACAGAACGACAGCACGGCCAAAGTGATAAGTTGCAGCAACTGTTGCTGCAAGTACCAGAGAATTTGAAGAAAAAAAAAGTAGCTATAGCGCAGGAGGTGGGCGCCTCGAACTGGTTAACTACGTTACCGATAAAGGCAAATGGTTTCAGTCTCAATAAACAAGAATTTACAGATGCCATTGCTATAAGGTAGGGTAGGCCAGTAGAAGGTTTGCCCTCCCAATGCGTGTGTGGCTCTTCCTATGACGTCGATCCCGCCATGGTGTGCAAGAAAGGGGGCTTCATATGCATGAGGCATGACGAAGTAAGGGACCTCACAGCAAATAGCTTGAAAGAAATCTGCCGTGATGTCAGGGTAGAATCGACCCTCCTTCCATTGGACGGTGAGAATTTCCAACATAGGACTTCAAACACATCCAACGAAGCTCGTGTTGACATCAGTGCTCACGTCAGTGTTCGAGGATTCTGGACGCTGGGACAGCGAGCCTTCTTCGACATCAGGATTTTTTATCCCATGGCCGCATGTCACCATAACTTAGCTCTCGATGCTGCACACAGGAGGAACGAGAACGACAAGATAAGGGCATATGGGGAGAGAATTCAGAACGTTGATCAAGGCAGCTTCACTCCTCTAGTGTTCACAACCTCTGGTGGGATGGGATCAAGTGCAAGATGTTTCTACGCCAGACTCGCTGAGGTGATCTCCGAACAGAAGCAGCAGCCCAGAAGTTATGTTACTGCCTGGATGAGATGTCGACTGTCCTTCTCTCTCCTTAGGTCTGCTTTGCTCTGCCTCAGGGGAACGAGAGCATCGGCCCCAAAGCCGACAACAGCTGCAGATATTGACTATGAGGCTACAGTCACTGAATGCCGCATAGATCTGAGACTTAACTAACTCAACATAGTTAGGATAGCTACTTATGTATTAGGATATTTAATATTAAGGTAATAAAATGGCGGCGAAGGTGTGGCTATTGGGGGAGGCTGGAAGCCACGATTTTTTTAAAAACCTAAAAAAAAAAAGTAGTAGTAGTGGTGGTAGATGTAGTAGTAGATGTTGTGGTAGTAGTAGTGATTGTGGTAGTTGTAGTTGGAGACAGAGGGGGGGTAGTAGAGAGCGAGGAGCAGATTATCAGTAACGAAAGTCTCGTCAAGTTACCACACACACACCTTCCTCCAACTCTCTTTCTCTCCACTCCCCTGCAAATCCACGCCTCTTTCATCCTTTGTGCCAGTCTGTCGTTCTGCTTGTCTGTCTGTCTGTCTGTCTGTCTGTCTGTCTGTCTGTCTGTCTCTGTCTGTCCGCCCCCCCCATCACCACAAACTGCGTCATGGGAGTCGTCGCAGCTGTGCCAACACGGCGATGAACCCCTCTCTCTCTCACGCCAAGTCCTACACACATATACGACACACTGTTACCACAACCCCACCGTCAACACACCCTCTGATGTAACCCCCTGAGGTACCCCCATTCCTTCCCTCTCAACCCCCCTTCCCTAGCATGACCTAACATTCAGTCAAAACTAATGTAACCCAATATGATCTAATATAACTTAACCCTAATCTAGCCTAATAGTAACTAACCTCACCTAACCTAATACGACCTGACTATTTTTCCATTGGTAACTTTTTTCCCTTACGTTTTCATTATACGCAAGGTCGCATCCAATCAGATTATACACATTACTTTCCAAGGTCCCCAACTAACCAATCAGAATGGAGCATCTTCCCTCCATCTCGGTCTCTCCGTTCACAGCAACTTTTGTTATTAAGTTCAGTTAAAAAAGTGTTTGAGAGAGAGAGAGAGAGAGAGAGAGAGATTGATTTCATTAAAAAAGTGTGTGTGTGTGTGTGTGTGTGTGTGTGTGTGTGTGTGTGCGTGTGTGTGTGTAAGAGAGACGACGACTTCAACATCTGATGAAAAAGCAAAAATTTTCACCATCGTCAACTTTCAACAGCCAATCAGAGAGCAGCTTTAGGTAAACATGGCCTTCTTGTGCGCACCCTGATTGTCATTTGTTCTCGTGTCTCTTATATACCATGTCAATAAAGTGGGTGATTGTAATAAGTATTTTTTTTAATCCATCTCTTCACCCATCCACCTCTCAACCATCCACACTCCCTGATTACTGCACAAAAGAGAGTTGTATGGACAATGACCTACTTGAAAAAAAAAGATCACACAAACGAAAAATTTGCTAAACTGAAAATGTTAAAATTCGAAGATATTAACACCTACTGCTGTGCCCTCTTTGTTTACAAATCTATCAATCACTTACTTGACAATAATTATTTCCAGTTCCGTAATAATCAGAGATACAACTTAAGGCACCCAGAGCTACTAAGACCACTCCCCATGCTCTCCTCTCAGTCCCAGACCTCCATAAAATATGGTGTGGAACAACTTACCCCCACCCATCCCAGCAAAGACTACGCTCCCTTCCTTTAAATCATCTCTTAAAAATAATCTATTGTCTAAGTATTAATATTTCTTGTAACACCTACTATATATACAGTACAGGTACCTGCTTTTATTATACCATCAAAATCGTTTTATCGGAAATTATCATGTAAATAGATAAGTAATTTACCATTGCAATAAATATATTTCCCAGCTAGACATAATCCTGACAGCTCTGACCTCCTGTTCAACCTTAATACTGTACAATCCATGTTGTACTGCTCCCCCATTATAAGTATGTTTTTCAATTCCACTGTAATTTATGTATACTGTATACTTATAATATAAATTAAAAAATAATAATACATAAATAAAATAAATATTGAAGTGATAATCGTGGTAACATTATGAGATGTTCTTATTACCACCATGCTATTGTACTATTCCAGATGATACTAAATGTTACATAATACTTCCTTGAGATAAATGTATAGTATATATCAGGTGCAGCTCAGGTTCTCAGCCATGTTAATATTGTTATTATTATCCACTCTGTATCTGTTTCAATTCAATTCAACTCCACCGTCCATCTGCCCGCCAACCTCCTCACATACTTGAGTACTTACCTGGAGGAGGAGGAGGTTGAAGTGGGGTCTTAACTAGCCCTATGGAGAGGGTTCTCACTCACTACACCCGTCACTTAACCCACATACACTAGGGCCCTAATACTCTCACTTAACCCACTTCTACATATCAACAAACCCACCCACCCCGACCCACACACACGCCAGGACCCTAACCCACCCACACGCCAGGACCCTAACCCACCCACCCACCCACCCACACACACACGGATCCTAACCCACCCAACCACCACACACGCCAGATCCTAACCCACCCACCCACACACACACGCCAGATCCTAACCCACCCACCCACACACACGCCAGGATCCTAACCCACCCACCCACCCACACACGCCAGATCCTAACCCACCCACCCCACACACACACGCCAGACCTAACCCATCCACCCATCCACCCACACGCCAGGACCCTAACCCACCCACCCACACACACGCCAGGACCCCTAACCCTACCCACCACCCCTACACAAACACCAGGACCTCACCTGCAGGAAGCGACTGAAGAAGGTTACGGCGGAGGTTGAGACGTTTGAGGGTGTTCAGCTCACCCAGGGCAGGAGGCAGGTGAGCCAGGTGGTTGTAGGAGGCGTCCAGGTCCATGAGGCTCTGCAGGTGGCCCACTTCTTCAGGTAGACTCACCAGGCGGTTACCGGACACGTCGAGTACCCTGAGGGCCCCCAGGGCACACACACACCCCGGCACTACTAACAAGGGGTGGACAGCTGGTTACGGCTGAAATATACAAGGGGTGGACAGCTGGTTACGGCTCGAAATATACAAAGGGTGGACAGCGGTTACGGCTGAAATATACAAGGGTGGACAGCTGGTTACGGCTGAAATATACAAGGGGATTGGACAGCTGGTTACGGCTGAAATATACAAGGAGTGGACAGCTGGTTGCAGCTGAAATATACAAGGGGTGGACAGCTGGTTACGGCTAAATGAGGGTGCAGCTGGTTACGGCTGAAATATACAAGGGTGAAGCTGTTGGCTTGCAGCTGGTTACGGCTGAAATATACAAAGGGTGGACAGCTGGTTACGGCTGAAATATACAAGGAGTGGACAGCTGGTTCCGGCTGAAATATACAAGGAGTGGACAGCTGGTTACGGCTGAAATATACAAGGAGTTGGACAACTGGTTACGGCTGAAATATACAAGGGTGGACAGCTGGTTACGGCTGAAATATACAAGTGGACAGCTGGTTACGGCTGAAATATACAAGGAGTGGACAGCTGGTTGCGGCTGAAATATACAAGGGGTGGACAGCTGGTTACGGCTGAAATATACAAGGTGGACAGCTGGTTACGGCTGAAATATACAAGTGGACAGCTGGTTACGGCTGAAATATACAAGGGTGGACAGCTGGTTACGGCTGAAATATACAAGGGGTGGACAGCTGGTTACGGCTGAAACATACAAGGGGTGGACAGCTGGTTACGGCTGAAACATACAAAGGGTGGACAGCTGGTTACGGCTGAAATATACAAAGTGGACAGCTGGTTGGAAATATACAAGGGGTGGACAGCTGGTTCGGCTGATATATACAAAGGGTGGACAGCTGGTTACGGCTGGAAAATATACAAGGGTGGACAGCTGGTTGGCTGAAATATACAAAGGGTGGACAGCTGGTTACGGCTGAAATATACAAGGGTGGACAGCTGGTTACGGCTGAAATATACAAGGTGGACAGCTGGTTACGGCTGAAATTATAAAAGTGGACGTGGTTACGGCTGAAATATACAAAGTGGAGGACAGCTGGTTACGGCTGGGAAAATATACAGGGGTGGACAGCTGGTTACGGCTGAAATATACAAGGGTGGACAGCTGATTTACGTACAAAATATACAAGAATTGGACAGCTGGTTGGCTGAAAATATACAAGGGTGGACAGCTGGTTACTGGCTAAAATATACAAGAATTGGACAGCTGGTTGCGGCTGAAATATACAAGTGGACAGCTGGTTGTTTTAAGAAATATACAAGGGGTGGACAGCTGGTTGCAGCTAAAGAAATATACAAGGGTGGACAGCTGGTTCAGCTGATATATACAAAAGATTGTGGACAGCTGGTTACGGCTGGAAAATATACAAAGGGGTACAAGACCGCTGGTTACGGCTGAAATATACAAGGGGGTGGACAGCTGGTTCCAGCTGAAATGACGATATATACAAAGGGGTGGACAGCTAATTTACGTACAAAATAACTGAAGAAATTGGACAGCTGGTTACGTACAGAAGCTACAAGGGTGGACAGCTGGTTACGGCTGAAATATACAAGGAGTGGACAGCTGGTTACGGCTGAAATATACAAGGGGTGGACAGCTGGTTATGACGGACATATAGACGGACACAAACTGTTTGTTTACCCCCTGACAGCTGATTACACCCCGCCCACTCTACTGGCATCCTTAGCAACCGCCGCACACTCGCGGCAGCTGATTGGCTGATGGTTGCTAGAGTGAGTCACAAGACCACATCAGTAAATAACACAGTCTTGTTTATGTTTGTTTTAAGTCATTAATGTCAAGGTCAATGAAGGAGGAGTTTGTTAACTAAATGATGACATACCTCTCTCTCTCTCTCTCTCTCTCTCTCTCTCTCTCTCTCTCTCTCTCTCTCTCTCTTCTCTCTCTCTCTCTCACCTGAGGTTGAGGTGTGTGAGGGACTGGAGGCTGGCCACGGACTCCAGGGAGGTTTTTGATCACATTCTGGTAGAGGCTAAGTTGCTCTAGGGAGGCGTAGTCCGTCACCTCCCCGGGTATCTCACTAAACCTATTTTTAGATAAATCTGAAACACAAATAAACAAGAGTTAGAGAAAAACAATAACAAGTAGATGAAGAAAACAACAACAAGAATGAGAGAAACACAACAATAACAACAAGAATTAGAGTAAAGTAACCCAAACCACAATAACCTAACCCAACCCAACCCAACCCAACCTAACCTAACCCAACCTCACCTAACCTAACCTCACCTCCATGAAAGGTGTCCACAAATTAAATAACTAATTCTCAAGGTCAGACGTACTCCCCCACTGTTGCTTCCTTCTTCAACCCTATTTCCGTTTCCTCCTCCTTTCTAACTTCCTTCCCCTTCCCTCCCTAATTCTTTCTTCTCCCCCGACAGCCAGGGGAGGGAGGGTGACAAGCACTTCATCCTTTCCCTCCTTCCCCTCCCCCTCCCGACAGCACTAACGCTGTGTCACTCATAATTACCAGTCCTGGGAGTGGTGCACACACACACACAACACACACACACACACACACACACACACACACTTATCGCATCAACATCTCAAGAGACCAGAACTATTTTGGGGTGACCTGTTCCTACAGGGTCAGGGGTCACTTGCTGGTTGTCTAAAGGCATTTCATTTAAGGCGTATCGTTGAATGTTGTCTTGTGCGAGTTCCCTCCTGTGTGTCTCTGTTTTCATAAGGGGACTATGACAATGTGAATGGGTGAGGTGGTTAAGGAGAGGGCCTGTGTTGGGGTGTATATCCATTATTTGGGAGGGAGGGGGGAGAGGGAGGGGAGGGATGAAAAGGGAGATGAAGGAGGAGGAAAGGGAGGGTAGGGGGTTGGAGGGTAGGGGGTTGAGGGTAGGGAGGGAGGAGAGATGAAGAGAGAGAGAGGGGGTCAGTGGGTGGTCAGTGGGGAGGGGGATAGGAAGGGATAGGAAGGAGGGAGAGGAAGGGAAGATGGGGTCACAGGATGAACCACTGATGGTCTCGTCCGTCCTCAGTGTTGTCTAACTACCCACCTCTTACGTAACAACCTCACTAACACCTACTACCAGTATCACCACCACTACTAAAACCAACCACGATTACCATCAACCACGATTAAAACCACCACCAATATACAACACATTACCACCACCCAGAGTCTCTCTCCTCTCTCTCTCTCTCTCTCTCTCTCTGTGTGTGTGTGTGTGTGTGTGTGTGTGTGTGTGTGTGTGTGTCAGGAAGGTGATGGGGGTGGTGATGGGGGAAGGTCATGATGGGGAGGTGAAGATGGGGATGGGTGATGAGGTGCATCTGACAAAGGCATTACCGCGTCTGAGTGAACAATTTTGGACACAAACCTTGGGAAGACCATAAGACTGTGTACTGGCCCAGTCCTTGACACACACACACACACACACACACACACACACACACACACACACACACTAAACCTACGTTTCTGATACATCCATCTTAGATAAGGGAGAGGGAGGGGTAGTGAAGAGGGATTGAATGGGCCTAATATATGAGAAGAGAAGGTGGGGGGGGAGGGAGGGAAGGAGGGAGGGAGGAGGAGGGAATGAAGGATTTTATACATTTGGAGGGGTGGGGAGGGTGGGAGTGGTGGGGTAGGGTGAGGAGGGGTCGGGTAGGGTGAGGAGGGGAGGGGAGATTTTTTTCTGTTGCAGAGAAAGGAGGGGTGAATGAAGATTAGAGGTGGGGGAAGGAAGTTATAGTTCGGAAATTGAAGAAATTTAGGAGGAGGTAAGAGAGGGCGGGCTGACCGCCTAGCTAAGCTAATGGTCTGTTAGGGTTGTGTCATGGGTTAGTTATTGTCTGTCGGTACAGGCACTAGACATCCTACCTTATTCCATATATAAGAACATAAGAACATAAATAGTCTGCAATAGGCCGGTTGGCCTGTGCATGGCAGCTCCTGTCGAGAGTTACTACCACTCTCTATCATCCCTGGCTCTATCCAGCCTCCTTTTGAAACTTTCCAGAGTTCCATCACTTACTACAAAGTTGCTAAGCTTGTTCCACTCGTCCACCAATCCTATTTGTGAACCAGTTCCTTCCTATCTCCCTCCTAAACCTAAACTTATCCAACTTAAATCCGTTGCTCCAGAGTCCTATCCTGCCTCGGATATTATAAGAACTTTATCTATATCCCTTTATTGATTCCTTTCACCCACTTAAATACTTCTATCATATCTCCCCGCACTCTTTCGTCTTCTAGGGAATGCAAGTTTAGTTTCTTTAACCTATCCTGATATGGAAGGTTTCTAAGTCCCGGAATCATTTCGTCATTCTTCGCTGCACCGACTCCAGTGAATTGATATCCATTCTATAATAGGGCACCAGAACTGAGCCGCATAATCGAGGTGCGGCCTGACTAGCGCAAGATATAGTTGCAATAAGACCTCTGCATTCATATTACTTACACTTCTAGATATAAAACCCAATACTCTGTTTGCCTTATTTCGAACATTAACGCACTGTTTTCGCCGTCCGGCCTACAAGTACCCCAGGTCTCTTTCACAAGTCGACTCTCTAGGTTGATGTTGTTAAGGCTGTATACATTGACAGTATTTGTTCTTCCAATATTGTCGCTGCACTTGCTGGTGTTGAATTTCATTTGCCATTTTTCAGACCACCCCTGCAGTTTATTTAGATCCTCCTGTAGTGCATTTGCATCCTGCCCTGAATTAATCTGCCGCCCTATTTTGGTGTCATCCGCAAACTTGCTTATGTCACTGGGTGTATTGAGGGCCTTATTTCATATTCCGCCGACCCTACTAGCGGATGCTGGTCTGGGGAGGTTGTCTATTGCCTGGCCGTATAGATGGTGGTGAGAGAAGGGAATGGGAGGGAGGGCGGAGAGGGGGAGTAAGAAGTCCTGGCCAATGCAGTATATAAGTATGACATCAGGAAGGAGAGAGAGAGGTGGTTCCCCCACCCCACCCCAGGCGTGTCACACTAATGTAAACACAAGCTGCTTACCACCACCTACTATCATCACCACCATCACTGCCAAACTACCATCATCTCCACTACTACTACCACCACCTACCACCATTATCTCCACTACTACTACCACCACCTACCACCATCACTACCACCTGTCCTACTACCATCCCCACTGCCACAACCACTTAAATTTAGATTTAGGCGCGAAATAGGTAAACACTGGTTTGGAAATAGAGTAGTGACGAGTGGAACAAGTTACCAAATATCATCATTAACTCTAATACGCTGAATAGCTTCAAACATAGGTTGGATGCTTATATGAGCAATAGGGGTTGGGTGTAAACGGGACTGCCCAGTATGAGCCGTTGCAGTTTCCTCCATTCTTATGTTCTTGTTGCCATACCTTCTTCACAACAACAACTATTACCACTACCACAATTACTACTATTAATACCATTATTACTACTATCACTAACTACCACCATCACTACCACCACACACACACACAATCATATTACCAATATTTTTATAGATTCTTATTCTTATTATTATTATTATTATTAAGAAAGACATAACAAATACACCCTCCGTCAGCCACACCCTCCCTACTGAGGTGTGGTCCAGCCTTTACGACCAATCCTGTGGACCCTCTCAACCCCTCCACGTTGTCTAGAGATACGACCTTCTCTCCTCGGGATTAACGTGACCTGCCAGAGGTGAGTCGAGGAGGAGGGGGGGGTGAGGGAGGAGGGGGTGAGGGAGGAGGGGGTGAGAGGGAAGAGGGGGTGAGGGAGGAGGGGGTGAGGGAGAGGGGGTGAGGGAGGAGGGGGTGAGGAGGAGGGGTGAGGGAGGAGGGGGTGAGGGAGGAGGGGGTGGAGGGAGGAGGGGTGAGGGAGGAGGGGGTGAGGGAGGAGGGGGTGAGGGAGGAGGGGGGTGAGGGGAGGGGGTGAGGGAGGAGGGGGTGAGGGAGGAGGGGTGAGGGAGGAGGGGTGAGAGGGGTGAGGGAGGAGGGGGTGAGGAGGGGTGAGGGAAGAGGGGGGGGAGGGAGAGGGGAGGGGGAGAGGGGGTGAGGGGAAGAGGGGTGAGGGAGAGGGGTGAGGGAGGAGGGGGTGGAGGGAGGAGGGGGGTGAGGGAAGAGGGGGGAGGAGGAGGGGTGAGGGAGGAGGGTGAGGGAGGAGGGGTGAGGGAGGAGGGGGTGAGGGAGGAGGGGTGAGGGAGGAGGGGTGAGGGAGGAGGGGTGAGGGAGGAGGGGGTGAGGGAGGAGGGGGGTGAGGGAGGAGGGGGGTGAGGGAGGAGGGGTGAGGGGAGAGGGGGTGGGGAGGGAGGAGGGGAGGGAAGAGGGGGGTGAGGGAGGAGGGGGTGAGGGAGGAGGGGGTGAGGGAGGAGGGTGGAGGGTGAGGTGAGGGAGGAGGGGTGAGGGAGGAGGGGTGAGGGAGGAGGGGGTGAGGGAGGAGGGGTGAGGGAGGAGGGGTGAGAGGGAGGAGGGGGTGAGGGAGGAGGGGGTGAGGGAGGAGGGGTGAGGGAAGAGGGGGTGAGGGAAGAGGGGGTGAGGGAAGAGGGGGGGTGAGGGAAGAGGGGGTGAGGGAGGAGGGGGTGAGGAGGAGGGGGTGTGAGGGAAGAGGGGGGAGGGAGGAGGGTGAGGGAAGAGGGGTGAGGGAAGAGGGGTGAGGGAAGAGGGGTGAGGGAAGAAGGGTGAGGGAAGAGGGGTGAGGGAAGAGGGGTGAGGGAGGAGGGGGTGAGGGAGGAGGGGGGTGAGGGAGGAGGGGTGAGGGAGGAGGGGGGTGAGGGAGGAGGGGGTGAGGAGGAGGGGGTGAGGGAGGAGGGGTGAGGGAGGAGGGGGTGAGGGAGGAGGGGTGAGGGAGGAGGGGTGAGGGAGGAGGGGTGAGGGAGGAGGGGATGAGGGAGGAGGGATGATGGAGGTGAGGGAGGAGAGAGTGGGGGGTGGGGAAGAAGGGGTGGGGAAGAGGGGGCGGGGAAGAGGGGTGGGGAAGAGGGGGTGGGGAAGAGGGGTGGGGAGGGGGTGGGGGTGAGGGAGGAGGGGGTGTGGTGACCTGAAGGATAATCTCCAAAGTCCTGCCACAGCTCTGGC